TGAGCCACAGCAATTCATTACTGTACTGGGAATGCTCATAAATCGGAAAAAAGGGGTTATTTAAAGTCGCTCATGGTTTATTCCTGTCTGTTCCATCGCCAGTGTTTCAGAAGGCAACTCCTCACCTCTTTGATTTCAGATGCACATAGAACAGTAATTCTTAAAATAGTCCATTGTGGAGATAAGGAGAAAATAGACCTTCAGGCGGCTTTCTGTCTCATACTGCTAATCACAGTCCAAATACGTCCTCAAGTAGTATTTGTGGACTCGAGGTAAAGCATATTCTTTAATGTTTTAATAATGTAGCGGTTTTTCGTATGCAGCTTTTGCTCCTTTAGGAGTTACAAAATAAACTATTAAAGGGCTGACAAGAAGTTGGATGGCTGACAGGTTTCAGAGCTTGGATTGTCAAGGATTTCATGGGTATTTCCCTGCAGTCAATAATCATAATAAAGTAGCATTTTATAAAGCAGATCCACCCAGATTAGGCAGTGTGTTATTATTGTAGCTGAGTTTTCACAAGTAAAGTTAGATTGGAGTTTGACAAGTTATTTGCATGAATATAAGATCTTATAATAATAATAATCCTTGTATTTGATATAGCGCCTTATCATGTCTTCAAACCATCTCAAAGCGCTTCACAGAATATACTGTAAAGTGAAACAAAAACAGAAGTCGCTGAACACTCGGCAGGTCAGGCAGCATCTATGGAGAAAGGAAAGTGAGTCAAAGTTTCGGGTCCATGACCCTTCGTCAGAACTGGGCCATTTTGGGGTTGAGAGGCTTTTAAGAGCTAACAGAGAGGGGGAGGCAGGACAAGGAAGACAAAGGAGAAAATGGGGTAGAGGACAGGGGATGATGGATTAAAGAGGTGTTAATGATGTAAAACAAAGGAGGGATTGCAACAAAGCAGGCAGACCAGAGAGAGAAAAGGTGTGTCTGGGACCAACATGATGTGGTAATGGTCACAGAAGAAGGGGAGGGGGGAGAATGTGAGCTGTTATGGTCTGAATTTTTTTTTAATTAATACTGAGGCCAGAGGGCTGTAAGGTCCCTAAGCAGATACACGAGGTGCTGTTCCTCGAGCTTGCGCTGTGGCTCATTGGAACAGCATAAGAGTCCGTGGATGGAGAGTTCAGAGTGCGAGTGGGTGGGAGAGTTGAAGTGGCAAGAAACCGGAAGCTCGGGGTTGTGCTTTCGGACAGAATGGAGGTGTTCAGCAAATCAGTCGCCCAATCTGCGTTTCGTCTCCCCAATGTAGAGGAGATCGCATCGTGAGCAGCGAATGCAGTAAACTACATTGGTGGTATTGCTTGTAAATCACTGTCTCACTTGAAATCTGGGGCCCTGGACAGTGGTATGGGAGGAGGTGAAAGGGCAGGTATTGGATCTGCTGCACTGGCATGGGAAGGTGCCAGGGGGAGGAGAAGAACTGTTGACGGTGATGGAGGAATTAACCAGGGAGTCATGGAGGGAACGGTCCCTTCGGAATGCTGAGAGGGGAGTGGAGGGAAAGATATGTTGAGTGGTTGGATCACACTGGAGTCCTGACCCAACTGTACAGTGCCTTGGGACGTCCTCCCGACGTGAAAGGCGCTCTATAAACGGAATCTTGTTGTTGTGGAGATGCCGGAAATGGCAGAGAATTATTTTTGGGATGTTGAGGCTGGTGGGGTGGAAAGTAAGGACTAGGGGGACCCTACCACGATTCTGGGAAGAGGGGGAAGGGGTGAGGGCAGAGTTGCGCAAAATAGGGCGCACACGATCAAGGGCCCTGCTTACTACAGTGGTTGGGAATCCTCGGTCGAGGAAAAAGGAAGATATTTCAGCTGCTCTGACGTGAAAGGTGACATCATCAGAGCAGATGCGGTGGAGGCAGAGGAACTGGGAAAAGGGAGTGGAGTCTTTACAGGAGGTGGGGTGGGAGAAGGTGTAGTCAAGGTAGCGGTGGGAGTTGGTGGACTTGTAAAAGATATCTGTAGATAATCTATGCCCCGAGATGGAAATGGTGAGGAAGGGAAGAGTTGGAGCTGGACCATGTGAATGTTATGGAGAGGTGGAAGGTGGAAGTGAAATTGGTGAATTTTTCCATTTCACTGCAAGAGCAGAAAGTAGCCTCAACACAGTCATCGATGTATCTGAGGAACAGGTCAGGGAGCGGACCTGAGTAGGCCCGGAACAAAGAGTGTTCCCGGTGGCCAACAAACAGGCAGGCGTAGCTGGGACCTACCCATGCGGGTTCCCATAGTGACACCTTTTACTTGGAGAAAGTGGTTGAAGTTGAAGGTGAAGTTGTTCATTATCAGAACATGTTTAGCCTGGCGGAGGAGGGTGATGGCGGATGGAGACTGGTTGGGCTGCTGTTCGAGGTTTTACCCTTTGTTTTGCATCATTATCTCCTCTTTAACCCATCATCCCCTGTCCTCTACCCCTTTTCACCTTTGTCTTCCTTGCCCTGCCTACCCCCTCCCTGTAGCCCTTAAAAGCCTCTCCCTCCCAACATGCCCCGATTTGTTGACTCACTTTCCTTTCTTTATAGATGCCGCCTGATCTGCTGAGTGTTCCCAGCGACTTCTGTTTTTGTTTCAGATTGCCAGCATCTGCAGTATTTTGTGTACTGTAAAGGGAATTGACTGTATAGTTTGTGAGCTTCAACCTGATATACAAGGTGCAAAACTGGTGCGCTTTGCACCTTATATACATCCCATTGAAAAGTGAATCACAACTTCACGAGAAAATAAAATTTAAACGTGCCCTCAGGATATCGTCCAAAGTCCATCCCCGGCCACACGGAATTATAGGTAAAGCTGGACAAAACTCTCCATGTGTTGGATCCGTAGAGAAACAAATTGACCCGACCAAGCAATCAAAGCTTTCGGAGTTTCAAACCCCCCAAAACATGTTATTCGTTGTTGTTATGCAATTTTAATTCGTTTCCTCTCTTTAATCGGGTCAGACGCGCAAGCAGATCAGTGGTGGCCGTGATTTGAAGTCCCCTTTTGCATCTCGCCAGTTGCATTCACCAGCGAATGAAAACAAGGGGCACAAGTCTTTACACAATAAATCAGAGACCAGATCAGAGCCCCTGGGGGGGGGGGGGGGGCACAGCATGGTGTGCTCTGCACAGCGGCCAGCAGGGGGCGAGGCGAGGCGAGCAGCGCCGCGCATGCGCGGACACTGAAGCCCGCCGGGAATTGCAGTTCACCCCCATCCTCCGCCCCGCGGGCTGCGCATGCACCGCGACCGCGAGGCACGCTGGGAACTGTAGTCGCTTATTGCCCCCTCCCCTTCCCGCTCGTGTGGACGGAGGGCATATGGCCGTGACTACAGGTCCCGGCATGCCCCGCGCGCCCGCCCGCCCGCCGTCACAGAAGCAGCGGGAAGCCCGCGGAGCCGCGCCCGTGTAATGACCGGGTCAGAGGGCGGCTCCGGCAGCCCGGGCACTGCCAGGCGGGCAGGGCAGGGCGGGCACTGCCAGGCGGGCAGGGCAGGGCGGGGCAGCCCGGGCACTGCCAGGCGGGCAGGGCGGGGCGGGCACTGCCAGGCGGGCAGGGCAGGGCAGCCCGGGCACTGCCAGGCGGGCAGCGCAGGGCGGGCACTGCCAGGCGGGCAGAGCAGCCCGGGCACTGCCAGGCGGGCAGGGCGGGGCAGCCCGGGCACTGCCAGGCGGGGCGCGGCACTCCGCTCTCACAAATAAAAAGACATCGAGACAACCCGCGTGTAGGATGAACCCCGACAGCAGAGCTCACGGGGGATGCGGCGCCTTTCACCATCACCACCTTTCACTCCATCAGCTCAGGGCACCTCTCACACACACACGTGGGGGGGGGACCGCCGCTCTGTGGGCGAACCCCACCCCCCACACAGCAAATCCCCACAAACTGACACGAAGCCCCCGCAACGTTGCCTTCCGTTGCAGTGAATCGAATGCAAGGAGCAGTATTATTAGTATTAGTAGTATCCAATCATTTGTTTTCTCTCTCTCTCAAGACCTCCGGGACCTTTATTTCACGTCAAAGCTGCGACGTAAGTGGAGCTTCTTATTTTTGGATCGACCTTTAACTCTCGTCTGATCCGTCAACGAAGGGAAACGTACCTTTACCGCCAACTCACTCTTAACCACCGGGAACCTGCGGAGGCCGCCCCTCCCGCCCTCCGCTTACACTGTGTGTTCAGGGATCGTTGCTGCAGCCGTCGCAACGTGTGTATTTCTGCGTTTCCGAAGCTATTATAGGGGGTGGAGGGGCGGAGGCGGGAGGGAAGTGATACGGTTAATGAATATTTATAGAGAGCACAGCCTTTTTTTTTGTTAATACGGCGGATAAGAACACACGTGAGCGCGTCAATTATTCATCCTGTGGTGGGAGTAGCGCCTCCCGGCCCTGCGACCAACCAATGTGGGCAGATCGGGCGGGTTAACGCCCCAATTGGGCGTGTTTCTGTATTGCACGGTGAGCGGGGGGGGGTGTGGGCGGGGACATAAGAATAAGTAAAGTCCTTTTTTAATTTTTCCCCCAAAGTTAAGGTTTTTTTTTCTCGTAAAACCATCTCCTTTTGAGGGACCATTTTTTTTATATAAAGAGAGAAGCATCTGCGTGGCCCGGCCCGGCCCGCCCCCCCCAACACATCCACCCCAATCATCACCACCACCATCATCATCATCATCACCACCAACGCAGTGAACCATTGGGGCTACTTTTGGGCTCGCAATTGGGCTACCAAACGGATGATTCTGATCTCCGGCCGCCCCACACACCGCCTGTGTGTGACTCCCCCTCTCTGTCTCTCTCTCTCTCCGCTCCTCGCGCAGTTCCCATGATGGCGACAGAAGGCGGCGGCGGCGGCGCTGGAAGGCGGCGGCCCGCGACGTTCCACCCCCGATAATGGGCGAGCGTTCGGCGCCCCCGGGCCCGCGTTCCATCCTCTTGTCTCCGATTGTCTGCCCGCGTTCCACCGCCGCCCCCCTCCCCCCCCCCGCGCCCCCCCCCGCGCCCGCGGCGATGGTGTGGGAGCCGAGCAGAGGGCAGCGGCCGGCGGCCCCGCACCCACACCCGCACCCGCCGCGGGGCTGCACCTCAGGGGCAGGGACAGGGGCAGCGAGGCGCCTGGATTCCTCCAGAGTCAGCCTCGGTGCTGCTGCTGCACACGTTTCCTCCTCGTCCTCCTCCTCCTCTCCGCTCCCCAACCCCCTGAGCCACACCGGCGGCGGCAACAGTTGGAACAGCGATTCCAATTCCTTGCTCCTGAGGAGACGACTCAGGAGGAACCTCTCCACCACCACCACCACCACCACCACAGCGGCGGCGGCGGCGGGAGGCGCCTCTTCCTCCGGCAGCACCCGCAGCCTGGACCGTAAGAACATGGTGGGCTTGAAGCACAGGCTGCTGACCCTGGCGGACAGGGAGTGGGTGAGGGCGGACTCGCAGAGGGGTTGTCTGCACCTGTACGACAGGCACATGTCTTCTTACCTGCGGCCGCTCCTGTGCACACTGCAGACCACAGCGTCCGAAGTGGCCGCCAGACTGCTCCCCCACCCCGGCCACCCGGGGGGGGGGAGGGCGGCCCCGAGGGACGGTGTCGGAGCGGCCAAACTGGGATCGTTGGACAGCATTGTTGGAGGGAGGATCGGGGCAATGAGGACTGTTGGTGCCGGGTCCGGGTCTGGGTCCGGGTCCGGGTCCGGGTCTGGGTCGGCTTTGCTGGGCGGGTCAGGCCAGGCAGACGCTGCTCGTGCCAGGCCAGGAGCTTCCTCAGGCATTGCTGCTCCCAGGCAGGTCACTGCTAATGGGAAGCTGAGGCCACTGGGCACTGCAGGGCAGCAGTCAAATACTGATACTGCCAGACACAGGCACGGGAATGCTGCTTTTACAAGGCTGGGGCTGTCACTGCACACCGACAGTGCCACACAGGGCATTGCCACACACATGAATCCTGCAAGTGCCAGACAGGGGAACGCTTTTATAACCACTGTCGGAGAGGGACCAAACTCTGATACTTCTGGGCTCAGGTTGGACAATGGTTCCGCGAGAGTTGGATCACCAAACAGTGCCACTGTCAAGTTGGCGACGGTAGACCGCGCCGCTGCCGGGCGCAGACCGTCGCTGGACAGCAGCGTAACGAAAAGCGAGCACGCAAACGGCGATGCGACAAGTGGTGCGGTTGTCAAAGCGGAGTCTCTGGACTATTACTCCAGAGCCGAGGTGAGGCGAGACATTCTTTCCAGCAAACAGGAGCTGGCGGTCAGCGGGAATGTCAGGGCAAAGCCTGACGACACCTGTATTTCAGGAATGGGGCCAACAGACGTCACGTTCACATCTATGCTGTACGTTCAACTTCACGGTGAAACTGCCAGGAGACTGGAGCCGCATGAAAATCCCCTTAAAATACAAAACGAGTACCTTTTTAAACTGGGATTTAAAGATCCTTGCAGGGTGCAGGAAGAAGGCATGGATGTTGAGATTGGCTGTCTAATACGATTTTATGCAGGTAAGGTGGTTGGGTTGTGCTCATTGGGCAACAGCTGATTTGTGTTTTTCTTTGATTTGAAAAAAATAATCATGTCCGTTTCAAAATTTAGGAAAATTCCGGTCAAGTTGTTTTGTGGAAATGCTTAGGATTGAGCACGTTCTTCAATGAAGTTGCTGCTTTTTTTTTTGGAGGGGGGGGGGGGATGAAATTGAGTGTTACCACAGCCAGACAAATGTTTTGATAATACTGTACTGCAAGCATTATTGGAGATAATGCTATTGTGATCCTGGAGCCTTCGAAAGATGGGAATGTTGTTGCTGGGTACATATTTTTAAATATGATTTAATACTCGTTTAACATATTGTGAGTGCCACATGAGCTGCTTGAGTTACATGAATAAAATGCTGCCCAAACACCATTAGCCCATATTTTGCTAAGTATGGAATGTAATACCTCAGACTGCATTGCCGGTTTCATACAAAGCACTTGATGTAGGCACAAGTATCTGTCAGCCTCTGAATAATTACACCCATCATTGGTCTGTGGTACTATTTCCATTATATTTTGGATTACTCTGACTATACTTCCTGGAGTTGGATTAACATTTAGCCTGGTTTCCAGTGTATTTGCATTGAAGTGCATAATTGTACTGCTGTTAATAATGCACTTGAGTTGCTTGACTCTCTTCCAGAATGTGTTGTACAAAAGATTCTGGTGCTGTATTGAGCTACCTACATTATGTGTTATATGGGATTTATCACTGCAAGTTTATTGTGTTACCGAGGAATGAATATAGCACTTTCACCCAATGGATCAGCAGTGCTTTTGTTTCTGATGAAAACATGCAAGTACTAAAATGTACTTTATTCTGATAATAATAATCCTTGCATTTGATATCGTGCTTTTTCACGTCTTCTCGACGTCTCAAAGCGCTTCACAGAATATACTGTGAAGTGAATTGACTGAACATTTGTGGGCGAAACGCAGCAGCCAATTGCGCACAGCAGTGTCCAACAAACAGTCGTGGATTGAAGTGACCAATTTATTTATTATTTTTTTTGTTGGGGCATTATTATCAGATGTGTGGAGTAAGGAAATTTGCCCAAGGTTTTGCCATGCTGGGAATCAAACCCACGTCTCTTGCTTGCGAGGCGAGTGCTCTAACCACTGAGCTACAGGACTCCAGGACTAGTACTGTAGATTTAAGCACAAGCTATTTCTGACTCACCTGGTACATATGTTCTGCAACAGTTGCCAGACTTACCAAAATCTGATGTATTTGGCTGGATACTGTTGAGATAGCCAGGATTTAGTTGTTAGCAGGACTTAAAGAAGTTGCAGAATCAGTGCCACCTGTAAATGTACCAAAAGGACTATATAGTAAAGATAGTGAAGTACAATGAATCTGCTGAACCAATACGTACATCCTAATGACAATAAGAATGTTAACCACACTTGCGCATTTTTTTTGTTTCCTTTGCTGGAAGGTACAAGATGCCCCAAAACAGCCACTGCAGTTTGCAGTCTGCAGTATTCATCCAATGTGGAAGGCTCTATGTCAAATGTACTAATGATAATAATCCTTGCATTTGTTATTGTGCCTTATCACATCATTGAGACGTCTCAAAGAGCTTCACAGAATATACTGTAAAATGCATTGACATTATATATTTTGTGGGTGAACGTAAAGATTATTATAGACCTCTTTGAAAAAGGTGTATTGGTAATTGGTTTGTGAGTTGCTGGACCTGATATACATCTGCGCTTGCACGCTTCCATAGATTACACTGAGACAGGAATTTCACCCAGCATTGCATGGAGCCCACAAAACAGTTGAAGCACGACCATTACTTTGTTCGCTGAATGCCATTCATAATTTTGTTTCTGATAACTGATACTGTCAGTGAGTGAATGTTGCTTGTGTCATACACCATATGTGATAGTGACACATTGCATTCTCCTTGACCGGTGCAACTCAATACACCACAATTTCAGAAGTGTGATATTTGTGTCTGTCATATGTACAGTTTACAGCATTTGATTAAGCTTGCAGATTTCTAATTTTAATCGGTAAAATTTGCTGACATTCAGGCTGCTAAATTTTCTGTAAATCAAGGAAAACCAGTTACAATCATTTAACTTTTTAAAAAAAAAAAATCATTTTGAACTACCAAAGGTTCCTCATTCACCAAACCTGTGCGCAACCTCAGTGTTCGGTTGTCCTTCCTACCCTGACCCACACTGCTTTCCTCCACCTTCACTGCATTGCATGCCTCAGACCCTATCTCACCCCCAAATGCTGGTGAAACCCATATCCATGCCTGAGTTACTTCCTACCTTGACGTCTCAAATGCACTCACTGAACTCTATAGTTCCACAAGGTCCAACTCATACAAAACTCTGCCATCCACATCCTCAGTCATACCAAATTCCACAAGCCTGTCATCCCAATCCTTGCTGGGTTCCGCTGGCTCCTTGTCTCACATGCAAATCCCATTATGTCCTAGCACCTCCATACCTCTCTGACCGACTCGCACCCCTCTCCTCTGACCTGCGTTCATCTGTTACTGGTCTACTACGAGTCCCTGAACCTTTCCCGCCACCATTGATGGCTGTGTATTTAGTCCTCTGCCTCAAACCTCTGGATTTCCCTCTCTCAATGTCTCTGTTTAACCTCTTTTTTAGTGTTTAAATCCCATTTTAAGACCTGAGTCTCTGGTCATCTCCTCCTTTTCTCTTGCTTAGAGTCCAATCACGCCACTGTGTAGTACACTAAGATGCTATTCTGTGTGAAGGCCACAATATAAAATGCAAGTTGGTGTAAAAATTTAAAGAAATCAAGACCAATGTTAAAATATAAAACTAGTCAAATTAAATTTAAAAAACTAGCATATGGTGTGCTATAATATGATAGTAATAATCGTTGCAATTAATATAGCGCTTTTCACGTCTTCTAGACATCTCAAAGTGCTTCACAGAATATACTGTGAAGTGAATTGACTGTATATTTGTGGGCGAAACTTGCAATCATAGCTTCTGAGTTGCACAGGTTATTATTAAGAATGATAAATTGTGTAATTATTGAATACAAGTAAATAAATGCTTATCATTTACAATTTCTGCCATGTTAGTTTGGATTCATTTTGATGATGGAATTGAAGTGTAAAATAAAGAAACCAATTTTGCCGACTGGTCTTTCCAGCTAAATTGTGAAACAAAAACACATGTTGTTTTTTCTTTCCCTCTAGATTTCTGCTTGTTTCTAACTACCTCTGATCCATTTTCTTACTCCTAGCACTTCTGTTGAACATTGCAGCTATTTTGTTTTGACTCCAAGTGGTCACCAGTGGTGCAAATTTGAATTATTTTCTTCTGAATTATTGATGCCCTGGAACAACTTTAACACCAAGCTGCTGAATCGAGAGATCATTAGAGGCAGTGTATAAAATGCAGTTAGCTACTAATATAAACAACAAAGCTGAAAACCATCATGGCATCATTTTAATGGTCGTATTGGTATCGCACTTGTTCGGTACTCCGTTATCAGTACTTCTGTTCTTAAAAAAANGTGTTCTCAGTGCAGTCCTTGGGAACCATGTACTTTTAGATATTATACTTGGTATATCTTGAAATGCAGAGTAGCAGGTATTAACTGAACACTTTGTAGTGGGGGCAGGCTGTATTATATAATTTCTTGACTGTGAAGAAATTTTTCCTCACTGACTGCTCTTCCCCTCCAAGTCCTCCTGATGAGCCAGGGCAGCGAGTCTGTCATCAGCAATGCCCCTAGAGACAGCTCAGCCCCAAGGAGACCCCACTTACCTCCTCCTTTTAACTGTTTCACCCCCCCCCCCCCCACCCCACACGCACACACACACACGAGACGTAGGCTATACACTCAGCTGAGTATACTAATATAAATTCAACAATAATAGGCACAATGTTCAACAACATTTTCCATCTTAAAGCTTTGTAGTGTTTTAGCACTGCCCTACAGATTCACATTAGCAATGTTATGATTCTTCCTTATATGATGTCTGACCCACTGTTAAGCCTTCTGAGATCTTATCCCACAGTAAAGCTGCCATACAAATGAAGTTGCTGTGCACAAAATTAACTTCTGTACTGCAACAAAATGAATTGTGTGAATATTTCTGGCTTTTTGCACATGATGGTTTCAGAAATCGTGTGTGTGTGTGTGTGAATATACTGATATATTTTAATAACAAGTGCTACTAGTTTGACTAAGTCTTTTGGGTTTGAACTGTGCATTAAAAAATGGTTTGAATAAGGTAAAGTTAACGATTGATATTTTTATGTAATCTTGCCATTTGGCCACCAGGAGCAATGATTCTAACAACTTGAAGGAACTTTTTTAAAAAAAAATACATGTTTGGAAGTGTAGCAACACGTCCTACGGTCTGTCCATGGTTCCTATGACAACGATTAAGGCCTGTGATTCACCGCGCATACCCTTTTCAGGCAGAGAAATCTTGTAGAAACCAGAGCTGAAGAAGCTTCTCAGAATGGCTGCATGTTTTGTTTGAATGGCTCCTGGTGCAGCCTAACATTGCCCTGCATTAAAATCCGGTCTTGAATATGGCCAGAGATGTTCTGCATTAAAAGCCTATTCTAAATGGATGGAATGAGATCAAGTGTCCTTACCTCTGAACGATTTCTGACATTCTCAAACAGTAACTATTGAACGTATTAAACTAAAAAATCCCCACATGTCGTCCATTTGACAAAGTAAATGAAGAGATCAGTTTTTAATTTGCAAGGATCACATTTTTAAATAGGATTGTTATTAAAATCGCAGGAACGTTCTGGGAACCCGGTGTTTGTTCTTCCATTAGTACGGCGACTGTAGTTAACACCACTGAAAACACAAATTAATTAATGATCGGTGAGTAATCCTAGCTTATTTTCTTCAGGTGATGTAATACATATGGGACATACATTACAGTAATTTCCAATTCGTTAGAAGTTTGTAGACTACTATTAAACTGAGGGCTATA